TCTAAGCTTAAAAATATTCAAATGTTGTAAAATAGCGAAATAATAATGGTTATAAAAATTAAATAAGAATGTTATCAATACACTAATAATAACTTTCGCATAATTTTATAAGCACAAAATCATGAGCTCGAGCCGGTTCAAAGGCAATATCAGCGGTTCCATTAAGGTTCAGATAGAAAATCAGTTCAGGTTTGGTTCAGATTCGATGAAAATAGTGGTTAATACAGGTTTAACACTCCGGTTCAGGTTCTGTGTGGATCCCTGATATATACTTTTATTGATAAAGAAAATCTATCAATAAAAGAACTTATGTATTTATACATTAGAGATTTATACAGGCCCGCCTAAAGCCTCACCTTTACTATTAAATTTTTTTTAAAGAATAGGTCATCTCTATTATTAAAATATTAGTCATTTTTTGTACTAATTTTTTATTGATTTATTTCATAATCTTTATTAACTCTCTAGAATGGTAATAGTAAGCTTAGGGGTAATTCCATGACAAATCGACCAGTGATTCGGCCGACCATCTCAAAAATGAATGAAACTTGGCATGTTAGTTATTTATGTTGTAAATGTTAATAAAATCCAAATTTTAGAGCCCCAGCTCAACCAGATCCAAAGATATACGCCTTCAAAGTTGAGAATCGCGTAATGCGTGATTTCTTATATCTTGTTTTTCTTAAAAAATACTTAAGATAGAATTACAAATAATATATCACTTTATAGCCCTTAAAATTTTACATTGGAAAATATTGAAAAAAAGTTAAAAATTTTAAGTGTTTTTGTATTTCCGGTAAAAATAAAAAATTAACATTCCTGGGAAGGGATTTTTTTTGGTGTTGATACTCTCTAAAAATGTTTATTACCTTTATATTAAACTATTTAATGAAATCTCGATAGCCATTTTTGTTTTTTTAATTTTATTAAAATTTTTATTATTTTTGTAAATAAAAAAGGGTAATATAGATGGCGTTATACTAAATTTATTAATAATATATTATATTTAATAATAATATATTTTATATCGGTATTAAAATCAAAAGAAATCGATTAAGTATAACCAGTATGATGTCCTGGGCCAATAAATGAGGAAGCGGCCCATATAAAGATACTTTAAAATTATATTCAAGCTATTATAAAAATATATCTATTTATCGCAATTCATTTTGCGCTTAAATAGAAATTCTTGAGGCCGTAATTTGTATATATTTCACACTTCTGGATCTATCGTTATTATTTGAAATTAAAGATTTTATCATCTTATTTTATTTTTCATTCCTTTCTTTCTATTAAATCTTTATATCGATAAATAGGAAATTTAATTATCAATCATGATTGAAAAGAACATAAGGATTATCTTTTTTTTACTTAAAATTTTTTTTTAAATTTAAAAAATTGTAATAATATGAAATCACTGTGTAGTAATCCATTCATTAGAGAAGGCCATAAGTCTATTTCAAAAAATCTACAAAAGGTAAGTTTATTTATATTATGGATTAAAACCTTTTTAATTTTAGATTCTGGATTGATATCGTGATTATTTTTATTAAATATAAAATTAGGTTACACCAAAGATGATTAAAAAATCCAAAGGTTTATTAACAATAGGCCAATCATTATGTCACTCATGTCGCTTATATTTGATAAATATGGAATCCATTGAAGATATATCTGAAAATGAAGAGCCCGAACTAGCCCCATCCAGTTCAACTTTGGATATAATAAATGTATCACTAGAAGAAATAGGCCAATCCCCAATAAAAAAGAAAAGAATACGAGAAAAGAAATATCCGTAAGAAAAAACTTAAAAAAATAACAAAAGCATTAAGTCAAAACATATTAAGAAGCAGCCTTCCTGAGTTTGATATACAAAATAATAAAAATGACGAACTTCTTCAAAATTTAAAACATCATTATCCAATTATTTCTAAAAAAATATCAACTTCTTACTATATTGCCCCCTTCTTGAACCTCTAAAAAATTGAGGAGTTCAAAGCAACGAATTACTTGGTAAGAAAATCAAAAAAACTAATAGAATTAAAAGGATTTATGTCATCTCCCAATATAAAACCTGGGCCAACAATTTATCAGGAAACCGTGAATATTATAGAAAATTTTTACTCTTCTGATGAAGTCAGTCGCGCGATGCCCGGGAAAAAAGACTATAAATCCATAATGATCAAAGGGAAAAGAGAGCAGTCTCAAAAAAGATTAATTTTAGAGAGGTACCCGATAATTAAAGTTGGATTTTCTAATTTGCAGATTTACGGCCAAAAAATTGTATTCTGGCTGGAGCCAGTGGAACACACAGTGTGTATGTTTGTGTAATTCATCAAAATTTTAAGCTTATGTTTGTAGATGCTAATTTGGCAAAACTATTAGCTATGCCAGAATATCCATTACATAACTATAAAAATATTTTAGCTCAAACAATATGCAATCCAGCACTCCCTATTTGTTATTTAAGAGATTGTTGTCCAGGCACATTCTCAATTAAAAAACAATTAGATGTTGTATTTGCCCAAAATGACATAGATCATATATCCTTTAAACAGTGGGTGTCTGTTGATAGAAGTAATCTGGAAACAATAACAAAATCTTCTCAAGAATTTAAAATTTTTTTTTAGAAAAAATTCCACCTATGTTATGTCATTCCTTTATCGCTACCAATCAGTCATCATATATTTCAAAACTTAAACATTTTTTACAACAAAATGAATTTATGATAATTTGTGATTTCTCTGAAAATTATGCCTTTGTAATCCAAGACACTGTTCAAGGATTTCACTGGAATAATAATCAGGCCACTATCCATCCTATGATAGCATATTATAATAATAATAACAATATAAAAAACCTAAATTATGTGGTAATATCAGAGTCACTTCAACATGATGTTATTGCAGTACATTTATACCAGACTTAAATGATAAAATTTTTGACCAATCATTTTAACAAAAAGCCATGTAAAATCTATTACTGCTCTGACGGATCAGCTGCTCAATATAAAAACAGAAAAAATTTCATAAATCTGTGTTATCATGAATCAGATTTTGGTGTAGCAGCTGAATGGCATTTTTCAGATACATCTCACGGAAAAGGTCCATGTGACGGCCTTGGCAGAACATTAAAAAGATTAGAAGCACGTTCAAGCCTTCAGCGCACCAGTTCTGGACACATTTTAACAGCAGTTGATTTATATCAGTTTGCAAAACAAAATATGCCATCAGTAAATTTTACATATATAACCAATGAACAATACAATTTAGAAGAGATTAAACTACGAGAAAGATTCAATTTAGCTCGTCTCATTCCAGGAACTAGGGAAATACATGCTGTTTTTCCTTTGAGTTTAAGTAAACTTAAATCAAAAATATATTCATTTGTGTTTTGCTGATATTAAAGGATTCGTAACATGTGTTTATGACGATTTTTGGTGGTTAGCCACAGTACTGAAAAAGAATGAAAATACTGAGGAGATATATATTTCATTTTTACATCCCCATGGACCATCACCATCCTTCTTTTATCCCACAATTGAGGAAAAGATATGGTTGCCCATGAATCAAATAATAACGATAGTAGATCCTATAACAGTGACTGTACCTATAAATCGCTTCAGGAAATTCTATTAATAAGTGCAAAATGGGATAAGATTAAAACAAGAGGTATTTTATTTTATAATTGTTTGTATATGAAATTTTATATGTTTATTTTAAAATATAGTGTCCTAATAACCATATCCGTATGGGCCGCTTCCTTATTTATTGCACCAAGGCATCATACTGGTTATATTTAATCGATTTTTTTTGATTTTAATACCGATATAAAACATATTTTTATTAAATTAAATATATTATTATTAAAATTAATATAACGCCATCTATATTATCCTTTTTTATTTATAAAAATAATAAAAATTTTAATAAAATTAAAAAAACAAAAATGGCTATCGAGATTTTTTATTAAATAGTTTAATATATAGGTAATAAACATTTTTAGAGAGTATCAACACCAAAAAAATATCCCTTCCCAGGAATGTTAAATTTTTATTTTTACCGGAAATACAAAAACACTTAAAATTTTTTAATATTTTCCAATGTAAAATTTTAAGGGCTATAAAATGATATATTATTTGTAATTTAATCTTAAGTATTTTTTAAGAAAAACAAGATTTAAGAAATCACGCATTATGTGATTCTCTACTTTGAAGGCGTATATCTTTGGATTTGGTTGAGCTAGCAATCTAAAATTTAGAATTTACAAAAATATACAAAATAAATAACTATCATGCCAAGTTTCGTTTATTTTAAAGATGGTCGTCCAAAAATCGCGTTTTTTTGGTCGATTTGACATGGAATGACCCTTAGTTAAATTAAAATCAGGGATTTTGTTGAGAACAAAGGTGCCCAAAAAATTTAAAAAATCATTTAAATTTATTTTTCAAAAATCTTATAAACTACACGTTATATTTTTACTAAATTTATTATTTAATACTTAGCTTTCAATCAACCATTAATTAAACAGAAACTACCACCTACCACTTGTAAAACAGGTCAACATATTTCATGTGTTTACCTAATATCTCCAAAAGTATAGTATTTTGCCCAAATATAAATTATAACATTAGCTTGTATATCAAATTTTGTAGGAATTAAAAGGGGTCAGTCAAATCATAATGTTTTGACATTATGTGAACTATATAGTACAAATAGTTGCTATATTTGAATAAAAAAAACTGTGTAAATTTATTACTTTGAATATTAAATAAACATTTTTCTAGATTCCTAAACCATCCTAAATTAATTTTAAAACAAATAAGTTCTCTTAATAGACAACTTTTTAATATGTTTAATATGAGTAGTAGCCATATATATGTTCCACTGTATGGTGACCTATAAAGGCAAAAAACTTTCACAAGAAAACATAATTTACAATAATTTGATAAAAACTAAGAATCTGTCGAAAATTGTATCGATATATATTTATTTATTTACATTGTAAAGAATAGTTAATCCATAAAAGAAAGCAGTTATGTAGTAGGTAAATCTCCAGCTGTAAAAATTATGACAAAAATTAATAAACATATAAAAAAATATTCCAATTAATGAACATATATAAAAACCAATTAATGAACATATATAAAAAATATTCTAATTAATAAACATATATAAAAAATATTCTAAATTTTTTTTTTAAAATTGACTAAATAATTAAACAGTTAATCTTTACTCAAATAATTTATAGTTTCCCTTTAAACAAATTTATCTTGATTTAGTTAAGTATATTCAATACATTTAAAAATTTATGGTAAAATATCATGACTTACAAACTTTCCGAAAATTTAGTTAATTTGCTATAGTTTTTTGATGATATATGTTTTTGCCTCAAATATTTTAAAATTTTAAACTGAGAAAGACCAGTATGATTTGATATGTCATTTAAAGCACTGGATTGATAACTTTTATAAAAACCATTTTTTAATTCATTTGAGGGATGTCTAATATTCTTTTCACCTATAAATTTTTAAATCGATATCTTGATATTTATTAAACTTTCATTAATATAATCGTTAATTGTCCTATCATTGGCATTATGACCATTTAATTTTAAAGTACTCTTAAATAATTTTTCTTTATCATCATTAAAAGTTTTAAGCTTCTGATGATTGTTTTTTAGCCCATATTTTCTTCCTATTGGGTATGCTATAAATCTTAAATTTAATTTTGTAAAATTTTTATAATAGTAAGGTATACTTTTCAAAAATATTTCGTAATATAATAATACAAAAAGCTAACAATAACGACATCCAAAGATCATTATATTGGGGATAATATATATTAGCACTTTTATTTTTAAGATCTTCCCAGGTGATGTTAGGTGGAAGCCAGAATGAAGGGTTCCACAACCAATTATTGAATTTTTTTGAATAAACCATGAATTCCATTTAAAAAAATAAATAAATGAACGAATGTAATACTTGAATTTAGGATATCCTTGAAAAAGTTGTAATAAAATATTATATTTTTCTATTTTATTTAAACAAATTTTAAAAAAACATGTTTTATTTTTTATAAATGTTTTTATTTTTAATATTTATTTCTATGAGGAGCACTTTTTATAAGATATAATTAATATTAAAATATAATTTTTTTTATTACATTCAGGATTTTTATCTCTATATCGTTCACATTCAAATTTGCTAAATTAAAATAAGTGATATGTAATAAAATATTTAACTTTCAAGGTTTAAATATTGTAATATATTAATTATAGTATTAATTAAAGAATGTTCAATTCGAATATATGATTAAATTTAATATTATTAAAAATTAATTAATATAGTTTCTCAATCTCAACTATAATATTGGCGACTTAATAATTTTAAAAACATATAAAATATTTAATTAATATTATAAAAAAATAAGGATTAGATATTATAGTTTCATACTATATTATTATAAACTGGCCTAACTCTCTATTATACAATAGGAAAAAGAATATAATTACAAAATTATTTGAGAGAGCAATTACAGTTTAAGAGCTGTGGTGTGATAAATTTAAAATTGACGATAAAAAGATCAATTTTTTTAAAATTGCATTAGTGTGAGCTATTATAATACATTTTAATTAACTAAAGCGGCATCTATTACCGTGGGCATTTACAAAAGGTAGTAATATGCAGTATGCTATCAACCACTTTATTTATTTTATTCTAAGATGTAGTAGCCGTATCCGTAAATATATTTTGCCGTAAAAAAATTGTTTCATTGTTTCATGCTTGTTGAATAATGAAAATTAAACATTTAACTTTGTATTGACCTTGTCTTATTTTTGTAACTTTTATTTTTATACTCTTATTCTTATTTTGGTAAAACTAATTTTTTATTTTTTTGAAAATCTTTATTTGTATTCAAATTGGATATATTAAATTTTGTATATATATATTAAATATTTTATAAGTAAAACAGTTATAATATATTTTAGAAAATAAAGTAATTTATTTTAGTTTTCGCTAAATTTTTATCACCATATTTGCAATACTAAATCTACCTATCTTTCTCTGTATAATATATGATAATTCCGAATGTTCACGTGACGTTACTATTAATAAATTTCATGATTGAAGTCACGATGGCAAAGTGGTAGCTAAATCATTACTTAATATTGTATGTTTAAGTTAGTGTTGTTAAACGGCTCGTTTTGAGCCGAATTTTAAAAACGACTAACTCAATATTTTCGCCAAAAAAATATTGTCTAAGAGATTTTGATAATATATGTCTAGACCTTTGTTCCTTTTATGAGCAAAATCTTCAGGCTTGCGTAATATTTTTCTGGATGGAATATTTAGTTAGCCGTTTTTAAAAATCAGCTCAATACTATATGTTTATTTATAAATGAATAAATTGCGGCCAGGGTTAGGCTGCAACGTTCTTTTTCTAAATAACATAGTTATATTATGATAAAGTTTGCAATCTAAATAAAAATTTTTAAGTAATCTTGTCATTAATATATTACGTTTTTGGAGTAATATCGTATTAAATGTAATTCTAATATTATATTACCTTTTCTCTATTTATGTATTTTTATAATCCACTAAACAAGAAATATTATATAAAATATCTTTAAATATTCAATATGTATGAAAATATAAATCGTATATTTATTTATTATATATGTAATATATAATATATATGTATGTATCATTTAAATATATTTATTAATATAGTATATATATGTAATAATTACACACAATGATTACACACATCACATATATAATATATATATAATATATTTATTTCTATCAGTGACGAAGCGTCCATAGAAGCAAGGGAAGCATTGCTTCCCTTGAAATTTTTCTTATAAAATTCTTAAATAAACTTAATATAATTTTCATACTATGCTAAATAAACTAAACTGACTTCGTTAAAAAAAAATTAATATAATTTCATAACGTTAAAAGATTAACATTATTTTTACTATATTAAGAAATACTATTATTTTTACTATGTTAAAAAATACTATTATTTACTAGGTTAAAAAATTTACTATTTTTTTTACTACGTTAAATAATACTATTATTTACTGTTAAAAAATTTACTATTATTTTTATTACGTTAAAAAATTTACTATAGTTTTTACTACGTTTAAAAAAATATACATGATGGAAGCAAATTTAATATTGCTTATATTTTTAATAGCCCGTCAAAAATGAAGAGGAATGAGAATTTTCTTCTTATATTTATGCTAGATGTTACCTGTTATTTGAAAATTATATCCATTTTTATTCATTTTACCCCCTCCCCATTTCAGGCAGGTTCAATCCATTAAAACTAAGACAAAATACTATGGTTTGAGTAAGAATAAATTTAAAGCTTTTACTTGATAATACAAATATGTCAAATTTACTGATCATTTATACATAATATTTAATATTAAAAAAAATTCCCAGTTAAGGTATAAAGTCATATAGTTAATAATAAAAAAATTATCAAACGTCCAAGCTCATAATTTTCCCCAAGCTCAGCCCAATATAATTTATAAAAATATTATCCAAGCCCAGTCCAACTCATAATAATTTTATAAAAATTTTTCTCAAGCCTGGCCAACCCATAGTAATTTTCAAAATTTTTTCCCAAACCTGTAGATAGGTAAATCTCTGGATCCGACAAAATGGTAAGCTTTTAAAAAGTAGGATCCTTAAAAATTGTTATATTAATTTAGTTAAATATTAAAAATATAATTTGTATATTTTTCAGTTAGTAAGATAAAATATTCATAAGAGATAAAAGGACATATTGTGCAGCCTGACAAAATGGATAGCCTTAAAAATAGGTAGGATGATTAAAATAATATAAATTTAATTAAAAAGTTAAAAAAATGACTTGCCTAAATTATTAAGTCTTATCAGGAGATAAAAAGTGATAATTTTGAATTATTCATATTCACTATTCATTTACATTTTCCAGAATTATTATGTTTGTTTATAGATATATTCTTAAATATTATTTTATATTTATTTGTGCGCAAAAGTCATGCGAATGAAACAAAATAGGATAAGGGTGATTTATTTTGTGAACATTTATAGAAATGGCCCCCAAAATAAATGATTTAAATTGGAAGAAAAGGAAGAATAAAACTATTTACATTCCTACGTTACTTTTAAATTTATCTGTTTTCAGATATAATATTTTAACCTAGATAAGTATTTCCTTATTAAGTTTAGAATTTACTATTTTAAGATAAGAGTGCACTCGTTATTCATTTCCTCCGTTCATTTCCTCCGGAGATTATATTGGAAGATAAGGTTGAGCAAAAGCAACATTTATTATTAAAATTCCTCAGGTAGTATAAAAGTCTATGTAGCCGTTATATTAAAATGAATCCATTGTGTTAATTAAACCATACAGTATCCTAGATTGTATCATTATTAGTCATCAATTTATTAATTTTAGTTACACAACAGTTTGGCTTAATTTTAATAATTCATAATATAATTTATGAGATAGATGAGACATTCAGTCTAGTTTAACACAATTTAATAAACTTATTCAAATATTTAAAATTTTCAAACCAGGAAAATGTGATGAGAAATTCAGTTTAATTTAACACAATTTAATAAACTTATTCAAATATTTAAAATTTTCACAGGGGAATGTGATTGAATAAGGCAATTTATATCAAGTAGTTGCTGGATAGTGAAAGTAAGTGTTAAAGAGTAACCCAGTTTACATTGGTGATAATGTTTTTGAACCACATAAGATAAACCTGCATTCAAATTTCCTATTTTTTAATTAACACTTTCTTGATTAAATTTATACAACGCTTTAACCTAATTAAAGAGTTTTATTCTAAATTTATAAAGTAGATAAAACATTTAGTATAATTAAATTTAATATTCTTATTTAAATATTTAAACTTCAGAAAACAAACAGATATAAGTGAATAAGGCAATTATAAGGATTAGTTGCCTGAAGATTTACAATATACTTGTAAGATCCATAGCTTTCAGCCTGTTTCACATGAAAATCCTAGAGTGCCCTTATTTAGAGAATTTTTTTAAATTACTGGCACTCCGATTTCAGGAATTCAAGGAAAATGATTAAATTGTTGAACCATCGTCCAAGCAGTATTATTTATAAATATCTATCCATTTTTGCAAAATAAAATGTGATAAATCGCTAAAAGTAATAATAGCTAAAAATAATAAAAAATATAATCTATTTAAAAATAAATTAAGACTGTTGGTAGGATCATCTGTTTGTATAAAATAAATAAATAAAATCAACTAATACGTACCGATGACATGACGTAGCGATGACATGACGTCACGATGACGTAGTGAGGACATCGGAAAATTATAAAATAGATAAAAGAGAAAGAAATTTTTTATATTATATTTTTTTCCTTACTTTTTTTAAATAAAAAATTTTTTCGTTTTTATAAGCCTTAATTAATGTTCAATAATTGTAATTGTATTATTGAAAATTTATTAACATTATCATTTAGCTCAAGAAATTTTGATACGAAAAAATTGATTATTGAAAAGGAAGACCAAAACCAATTTTACAAAACTTAAAAAAAGAAATCAAAACTTGCATCGTAATTTTTCTATCTATAAATATGAAAAATATGAGTGGCTCATTGGATGTGAATTTTCTAATTATCTAGATTGTTGATCCTGTCTATTATTCCCAAGGGAAAAATATGTTTGGAATGATAAAGGATTTTCGGATATGAATATTTTTCAAAGGCAGTTAAACAGCATAAAGAATCAACCGCTCATTTGCAGTCGATGATTCAATTAAAAACATTTGGCCAAAATCGTATTGAAAATATGATGGATTCGATGCGCAAAATATCAATCGAACAGCATAATTCGAAAGTCAAATCAAAATATTGATCAATTCTATATGTTTTCTTGGAATTCAGGAGCTAGCATTCCGTGGTGATGATGAATCTTCTCAGTAAATAGAGAAAATATTGAA